TTGAATAAACTTCAACTTTACTGTTCAGTGCACTGATGTCAGACTCATTTTGGATAATAAAGTTTATTGTTAAATTGTTAAATGTCCTGTCTCCATTATGTATCTGTCACGTCATTATAAGTGTTTGATCACCACATTTGAGAGATCATTGCAAAAAATTTGTTTATGTATATATATTCTGCTTATGTATATACTGTATTCTATATATATTACCAGTCAAATGTGTGGACACACGAATGGGAAAGTGTCCAAACTTTTTTTTTTACTCCCTAATATCAGTATCGGTCCCAAAAAACCTATATCGGTCGGGCTCTACTTAAAAAAACCTTTGCCATTTTTATAAAGACATTACAAATTTTCTCGTTATGCTAAGTTCTAAAGTATTTAATTAAGTAGAAATTATTTTGAAAAAATCCTAATCCAATACATCACAAACGTCTGGAAAAGTCATCTACATTCATTTGTTTAAAAAAAAAAAAAAATGCTCTAAAGACTTTTGGCTTCTGGAATTCTAAAAATGTAACTATTTTAGTTACATACATTTATGTATGGATACTCCTAGTTTCCTTCAATTAATAAAATGTTTTGAAAACTAAACTGTCATCGCAGAGGAAAACTATTAGCCATTTTAGGGTAATGTGGCATCTTATGCTGTAAAACTTCGTGAACACCCTCCAAACAGGACCTGACCTGTCCACTCAGATGGTCTATAATGCCTTATCAATGAGAACTTCTTGCACATTATGAAGTACAAACAAACAAAAACAAAAACACAAACACCCTGAATGAAATCCACTTAGTAGCTGCAGTCAAAACGCATACATTGTGAGAAAGTGTCTTCATACTGAGACGTACCCGGGTTTCTCTCAATGCGGGCGTTGTGTCTGCCACCCCACTTCTTTATGATCCACTCCCTGTAGTCGATGACTTCCTGGGTGACTTTAATTATGCGGCCCAAAGTGCTGAGGCGACAAGATAAGTGGCAAATTAAATAGAGTTTGAGAGAATTAGGGTGAAGGTGCTTGAATGCAGATGAGATCTGTACCTGTCACTGTCTTTGTTGGGGTAAGAACGTGCAAGAGGTGAGACGGCGTGACCCAGTATTATATAGGCGTAGTCAAAAGCCTCCTTCACCTGCATGGCACCGTAAGAGCTTCTGCCCACGTCATTACCTAAACAGTCAAAGAAAAGAAGAAAAATATAATAACACAACAAAAAATGTTTCACTTAAATTTTTTATGGTTCTTGTGCAATTCCGTGGTTTATTTTCATGTAGCATCAATAATTTGATAAATATTTAGGTCAGGTAAATTTTAGAACTTCTATCATTAATTATAAAACATTGGTTTAATACATACGTTTTTGTACTAATTTTGCATGTTTCCTTTTTTTATTTTAAAGATATTTTGCAAGGATGGAAGTTTCTGTAACATTCTGTAATATTCTAGTGCTTTCTGGAACATTCCAGAACATTGTAGGTCTAGTCATAAAAGACAAAAATCATCCACTCACTTTTGGATAGCCGTTTATGCTAAACTGTTGTTAGCTCAGTATTATGCATGTACCATGTCATTTTTATGCAAGAGTAAAAACAGATTAGCTTGTGTAAGTTGTCAACATATTTTAGTTTTCATGAGCACTATTAATGATACACAAAAAGTAATATGATTTTCATGTGACATTTTATAAAGAAACATTTAAAATAAGAGTGAAATAAAACTTTTATAAAACTTTGTTTCACAGTGTAATGAATACAATTCTTCAATACTGAAAGTAATTTACTGAAAGTTGTTTCTTTCATCAAACTACTTTTATTGCCTTAAAGCACATAACAGCAACACCAAACATCATTTTCTACAACAATTTCAAAAGTGTTCAATGGCTCGGTTCCAAAACCTAGTGAGCGGCCTACCTAGACAGCATCTCAAGTTATCATAGGCAAAGTTAATGACACAAAGTCTGTCCTAAAACACACGCAGTTGCCTTTTAAGATATCTTGTTTTGGCCAAATTTGGATTCTTGGAAAAAGCAATACAAGAATGTACTGTGGAGAGCATAGCGACCAAAGAAGTTGAATGTAAATTTTATTGCATACCATAATGCAGGTTTTCCCAAACTATGAATTAAATCATAAAAATTTAAACATGTAAATGAATGAATAAAAACAAATCGATATATACCTTTCTATAAATATATTCTAAATAATAATAATAATAATAATAATAATAAGCAAAATATATATTTATTTCTTGTATGTCATGAGACCATCAACCAACATCAACAACTGTGAACATGCATTGTTAAATTACTGACATATTCTCAGGGGGGACTTCAAGTAATATTTTAGTGGTTTGGCTGCCAAAAAAGTTTGGGAATCTCTGCCATAAAATATAAAAATTGTGTAAACTATGTATTTTTATGCTTTAGATAATTAATGTGTTACCTTAGCAACATGCTAACACCAAACTGTATTGAAAGCAATTGAGAGTCGAGTCTTCATGTGAGGAATTAGTGAAATTGGTCATTTATGAGGTTCCAACTCAGTTAGGATGCTGCTTAAGAAACTAGCTGCCAATGTAGGCAGTAGACAGCAAGCAGCTCACTAGGGTTTGCGTTATTGAAACCAATTTTAGATAAATGGCTTGAAACACACCTGGAAGAAGAGGGTCCTCGATACAGAGCATGGAGGGCCTATAGCCATTACTCATGGCCTTCATTATGTCCTCTTTAGCCATGTAAGCGCCGCCGTTCTTTATCCTGATGCCCGTCTTCAGGTAGTTGAAGTGTCTTCCATACAGCTCGAAGAACTCGATGAGCAGAATGCCAAGGTTCATGTTGGGATTCCTAGCATCAATTCTTGGATGCAACTGTGGGTGTAAGCCAAAAAAAAAAAAAAACAGCAGGCAAGATGAAACAGTCTCTTTATTTGTTTGGTAGAGTCATTTATGAAATGAGTATGACTGACAGTCATACAAAAGGTAGTAAAATATGCTTGACAAGTAATGACAGATCTCTAAATGAGACTAGACCAAGTTATTTTTATTATGAAACACTCTTCGTCTGCATGTTGTGACAGTTTTCAGACCGGCTGCTAATGTTGCACCTGTAAGAAGCTGATGACCATCAGGATGAGACTGTAGGAGCTGATTCCTCCAGTGAAGACTTCGTTGAGGTCTCGCTGCAGCAGGAACTGTTTCAGCACTAAGATTAAATAAGGCAGCACGGTATACTTCTGTGTGGGAGAAAAAAATAAGCTATTTTAGACTTTAGTACATCAAAAAAGACACCATTTACACCAGGCATTAATAAGCATCTCAAAAGCGACTCATTTAACACTTGAATGATCTCTACAAGGTTCGCAAAGGGCGACAACAGTGTCTCATTACACATTTACATCAGGAATATCTGATTTGTAAAGTCTTGCACATGTATTTCCCGAAAACATGGGGGTTTCATACATGATTGTCTTTTCACTGTAGATAAAATCCAGCTGTTCAGAAGCAGCAGAGATATTCACATAAGGTAAAGTGTTATAATAACTGATGACGGGCCAATAAATCTAACATTCCTCCACCATGCAAGATTGACATCGTCTTAAAGGTTTTGGTTGGGTGGCATTCACTATCAGAGTGTTTCAAGTCCTCCTGGGAAGTTTGCATTTCTCAATTATGTTTGCATTTTCAATTACGATGTCTATGTTCAAGTCACTTTAGTCTGAGCAAGATAAAAGCAAAAACAAACAAGATTTAACTTCACAAAATTTTAACTCAAAAGGAGTTGGCCAAAAAGTATGAGAATCCCAGCTGTAAAGTATACAAATAGTTAAATCTAATAAAAATAGGACCGTATCACCCAATATTTGCGTGAGCTATGCATTATGTTTATACGATTATTAAGGTGTTAACTTAGCAACATGCTAAAACCAAACAGTATTGAAATCAATTGCGAGTTGAGTCTCAGTATGCTTCACATTTGTCACCAGTGAGGTTCCAATTCACTTAGGATGCTGCAGATGTCTATGTAGGCAGTAGACATCAAGAAGCTCACTAGTTCATATTTACAAGTTGGGAAGTCGTAATTACGATGTCAGGTGTCACATTCGTCACTTTGGTCAGAATTAGGGATGTAACGGTATGAACATTTCTTATCACGATTATAGTGACCAAAATGATCACGGTTATCGGTATTATCACGGTATTGTTAAAATGTGCTGGAGATGTTCAAAAAGTACAGACACATAAATCACTTCAAGTTTTATATTTAAAAATCAACAAACAACAAATAAAAGGACTTTTTGTTTGCATAATCACTAAAACAATAACATTACCAATGATGTTCGGATTTTAAATGACAACTTGACTGACAACAGTTTAATAGCATGTTGAAATATCTAATGTAAATGTTCAAATAAAGCTTTGAAAAAGTTTAGTGAAAAGGTAAACCTCACATTTCAGCCTTTAAAGAAAAGATATGTCAAAATGATAATTGATTAATAAATGATATAATAATTCTAGATATAATCATTGGATGGTGATGCACATTTTCTACTTTTAAAAAAATTTAAAATAACTCCACTTCTACAAAAAAGCTTCCGTTTCCCCACTAGTAATTTATGTGAGTTCAGACTCGAATACAATCTTTCCGATATGAACTGAATGCCCCATAATAATTGCATGGATTATTTAATATTTGTATGAATATTAGGACTGTAAGTCCAGCATCGATTCAGTCTTAAACAATTTCTGTAGCTCACAGAATCAAATTAATTTAAAACATAATCACTGGACACTACCAGGCTAAAACAGCACCTTATCTTTGTGTTTGCCAGCACATTTTGAGAATCAGAGGCTGTTCTCTGTAATCCTTCAAAGAAAATGCCATATTGCGACATTATCTCCCACGCACTGATTTTTCACAAAAAGTTAAAAATGACTATTTAGAATACTTAGTCAAATATTGGACTGACTGTCCCAATCACTAAATAAATAATAATAATAATAATAATAATAATAATAATAATAGACAGCTATTCATTAATTTTGTACCAACAATAATCGTGGAAATTTCAAAAATTAATTTGGCTCAAACATCTGAGGAAGCATGTGGCCCCATCAGTTTGAATGGATATGACGTCTCTGACCCAAAGCATGTGATTTTTGCATTTGTGTGGTTTCTATTGTTGCTACATTTTGTTTTTGTAAATGTAGAACATATTTTAGTACAAAAGGTATTGGTAAAATCACAGATTTCACACATCAAACTGTGTGCATGCACGTTTAGTCAATCAGACCCTTTGTCCCTAAACTGTGTATTAAGGAAAAATCTCCTCTGACAGATGCACAGATGAGAGCGGTCACAGAGGAGTACAGCAGGTATGCACATGGAAATGAGCTTGGCAGAAGAGCATTAAGGCAGCAGGTCATCTCCTTATTCAAACATCTGCACTGAAAGCTTGCTGACAGATGTTGACAGAAGTTGTGCTGCAACCTCCTCTCTTTAGTCGAACACTGACACTTTAAGCCTGACATCAAATCAGCAACCACAGAGCAAATCTAGGACGCATAGTGCATGTAAATACAAGCAGGGTTCAAAATGTACTTCCTGCGCAATGTACAGTAGCAATAAGTAACACTGCAACGCACATTGGGCCTCATTCATGAAACACCAGCAGAAAGAATTTGTGTAAATCGTTCTGATGTAAACATTGAAATTCATGAAAATGTTAGTTGGTAGGAAAGAAATGTACACCTGCTCCCTACCACGTGTAAATGGTGCGTAAAATGTTCTGTGTTCATTTAGGCAAACTGATGACACTGAATTTGATGCACAGCCATTATAATATTTTACAAGGTCGTAGGGCCGGAATTTAAATTTTTTTTTGTAGCTGATAGAGTTGATAAACTGTTTAGCTTTGGGTAAAAAGCAAGGCGCTTGTCACTGTCACTTTTTACCCAGCCGTCTAATCAATGGAGGAGGGGCGGGACAAATACTACACTGACCAATCATACTACTTGTACAACAACTGAACAACAATAGAGAAGTTAATATTGCTGGTTAGTGCATTTTTATATTCAGTAATATTCTTCAAAATGAGATACTAGTAATACGTTACTGCCATGAATATTTCAAATCATAGCAACCAAAGAGTCTCAGCTAGAAAAACGCTGTGCCACCAAAGCGTTCTCCAGCACCACCAGCTGGCTGTTTTAAGAAGAGCGCCTGACAGTTTTTCAGCTGGCTAAAAATGCTTCGGTGGACACACGTTATTGAATATTTATTGTTAGGCATATGGCCCATTAGTGTTTTTTGCATTTATGCAATATACTGGAGCCAAACCTGAGAAAGTAGACCAGAATATTCCACTGCGTTCCTGGACACGCAATTTACGTACCTGTAATTCATAGATTATGCTAATTGTGAATGAGCGTCCTATTTACGAATGATTGGAATTCATTAACATACACATGTTTAACTATCAAATCTGATGTGTACGAAGTGTTTGTGAATTCGGAGGAGAGTTTTTGGGAAGGTCTGTTTTACACGCAAATTACTCAGAATTTACTCCTATATAAATATATTATTATTACGAATGTTTCATGAATGAGGCCCAATG